TGTAGTGTAACATCATTTATCCTGGAGGATGTTCCATGGTCTGTTGAGAAAAATATGTATTCTACAGGTGTTGGATCGAACGGTCTGTAAATGTCTACTGTTTGATCTAGAGTGCAGTTTTAATCAATGTTCTCTATTGCTTTCTTGTCTGGATGACCTGCCCATTGCTGCAAGTGGGATATTAAAGTTCCTTACTATTATTGTGTTGTATTTTATCATTCCCTTTTGTATCTAATAATATTTCTTCCTATATTTTTGTGCTCCAGTGTTGGGTGTATATGTGTAATTATTTTATCCTTTTGATGAATTTACCTTTTCATCATTATATTATATTAAGACCTTCTTGAATCTTTCTACAGGTTTTAAGTCTGTTTTATCTGGTGTAAATATAGCTATTCTTGCTCTCTTTTGGTTTATTTGAATGAACTATTAATTTTCATCCCTTCAATAGTTTGCATCCTTATTGATGAAGTGAATCTCTTATAGGCAGAATAAAATTCATTTTTAATGTTGCTGTTGTTTTTTAGGTTTTTACCATAGAGCAAGTGCTCTCACCAGAAAGATGGAGAGAAAGGGAGATGGTGTGAGGGAAAATTAAAATAATCCCCACAGGAGGGACAGCCACATAAAATCCCTTCTCTATTCTCCTCCTGGGATTTTGGACATGCATGCACACATGCCTAGCATGATTTTCAAGCCACTAGGTCCAGAACTCAAACCACAGTTGGCAATGTAGGAGTCCAGCATCATAACCACTAATGCCACCTTCTGGCCCCACTTTAAAAATAAATAAATAAATTCAATCACTCTATCTTTTCATAGAAAATGCAATCAATTTGCATTCAAGCTTATTTATATGTAAAGACTTTTTTTAAAAATTTTGCTACAGGATGCATGCGCTCACCAGAGAGAGACAGAGAGAAAGAGAAAGAAGGAAAATGAGAAAATACCTCCCCTGGGAGGATAGGCACACCAAAGTCCCTTCTCCTCTTAGGACTTTAGGCATGCACATACATACCCAGTATGTTTTTCAAGCTGCAGCATCTGGGATTCAAACCATGAACTGAGTCATGTAGGATCCACCCACCTTAACCACAACACCACTAACTAACCCAGGACTTACTCTAAAGTGGCTCCAAGACTTCTATTTGTTTTTTGTTTTGTATTGTTTTGTTTTGTTTTTTGTTTTTTAGGGTTTTTTTGGTTTTTTTGTCCATTGCTATGTTGAATTTTTCTTTTAGATTATGAATTGTCTTTCTGGTTTTGTTAAGTTATCTATCTGTTTTTAAATTATCTATCTTTATTCTCTTGTATCCTACTGAATTCGCTTAAAAATCATTATTTTGAATTCTTTTTCAGGCAATTTATAAGTTCTATTTTTGTAGGGTTATTTACCGAAGAATTATTGTGTTTCTTTGGTGGTGTCATGTTTACTTGACTTTTCATGTTTCTTGTGTCTCTTCTAATTTTATAGAGTGACTTTCTAGGTAAAGACACAAAAAAGTGAGAGGACATCCCATGTTCCTAGATTGGAAGAATTAATATAAACAAAATGGCAATTCTACACAAATTAACCAACATATTTAATACAATCCAAATCGGGACCAGCAGTTAGCATAATGGCTATGTCGCTGGACTCCCACGTAGTCAACTGCAGTTCGAGTCGAGAAGGGATTGCAGCATGGCCATCACCCCTGGAGGGTGATTTTTCACTTTCTGTCTCTCTGTCTCTCTCTGTTTCTCTGGCAAGCCCACACGCCCTATAGCAAATACCTCTCAAGGAAAAAAAAAAGACAAAAACGGTGGAAGGATATCCATGCTCCTGGATAGGAAGAATTAATATAATTTAAAAAATGGCAATTTTATGCAAATGCAATCCCAATCAAATTACCAGAAACATTCTTCACAGATCTAGAAAAGACAATCATAGAATTTGTCTGGAATCATAAAATACCCCATATTGCCAAAGAAATCCTTCACATGAAGAGCGAAGTAAGAGACATTTCACTCCTTGACCCAAAAATATATTACAAAGCTGTGATCATCAAAACAGCATGATTTTGGCATAAAAACAGATATGTGGATCAATGGAACAGAATAGCAACCCCAGAAATAAATCCCCAAACATACAACCATGTGATTTTTGGCAAAGGGCAACAACAGTCAATCCAGAGGGGAAAAAGAAAAACTCTTCAGAAATGATGCTGGAAAAATTGGCTGTCCACTTGCACAACGATGAAATTAGACCCTATCTCTCAAAATTAATGAAAATCAACTCAAAATGGATCAAATATCTAAACCTAAGACCTCAAACTATAAAACCACTAGTGGAAAACACTGAAGACACTCAGAGTCATCAGAGCAGGCAAAGTCTTTTTAAATAATAAAACCCCAAAACATAAGCAATAATCCCAACAATAGACAAATGGGATTAGATCAAATTAAGAAGCTCCTGCATGGCAAAAGACAATAATTAATGTGAATTGACAACCCTCAGAATGGGAGAATATATTTGGTAATTCTTCCTCAGACACGAGACTGATAACCAGAATACAGGAATTCAAACAGCTTACCTGAAAAGAAAAATGATCAACTCAATTAAAAGATGGAAAAATGAGCTGAATGGTCAACTCTCTAAGAAGGATACACAAACAGCTGAAAAGCACATAAAAGCATGCTCAACATTCTTTATCATAAAGGAGATACAAATCAAAACTACAATGAGATGCAACCTAACCCCAGTCAGAATGGCTAAGATTAAAAAAAAAGAGAGAGAGAGAGAGATAAGGTCTGGCGAAGGCTGCAGTGAAAGGGGAACTTTCCTACACTGTTGATGGGAATGTAAATTGGTACAACCACTGTGGAGAACAATACGGAGGTTCCTCAAAGACCTACAAATAGAACCACTATACGATCAAGCAATTCCACACCTGGGTATCTACTCAAAGGACATGAAAATGCTCAGTTGGAAAAGTGCTAGTGTATCCATGTTTATTGTGGCAATATTCACAATTTCTAAGATATGACACCAATCCAAATGTCCAAAAGCAGAAAAATGGATTGGAAAAGTGTAGCACATATACATTATGGATTGCTACTCAGCCATCAAAAAGCAACAAGACCCAGACATTTGATAGAAAATGGATGAATATGAAAGATTTACAGCTGAGTGAAGCAAGTCAGTATATGAAAGAGAGGCATTGTATGTCCCCATTTAATATATACCAAATATCCACACTCTACAGTGGATACTGAAAGAGTAGAGGATATAGAAGCATTAAAAAAGGTTGCAAATATTGGAGACATTGTGGGAGGTGGGTGGGAGGTGTTGGAGGGTTAGAGGAAGGGAATCAAAGAGAAAATAGAGAGGCAAGACATTTAAGGGGCACAGAAATAGAGGACTGCCTGTTGACAAAAAATGTGTATGATATCTTTAATTGTACTGCTGTGCAGTATATTCATGCTGGGAAAACTCATTTTATCAACTGTGGTGATGTACAGTGATTGAAAGGATAATATAAATTTTAAAATAGAATACACAAAGACATGAAAAGACTTTCATGTGTACATGTGTACTAATTTGTCAGCTGGTAGGCTGCACTGCCTTTGGTTCTGGCCTGTTTGCTGCTTCTCCAACATATACTTTCTTCTGCCTCTAGTTTCTGATTGACTGTTCTTTTTTCTTGGAATGAAATTCTTCCAGATATTCATAGAGTTTGTTCTTTTTCTTCAAACATTGCTTAGATGTTGTATTTGCTGTTACATTTTCCTTTTATAATATCTTTGGAATATGAAACAGTGATTGTTACATGGTAAGAATTCTATAAACATTCATAGTGTAAGTGAATACCAATTAAACTTCTTAAAATGCCAATCCTTTGTGGACTACATAAATTGAAACAAAGATATCTCTAATAATCTATTCACACACACACAAGAATTTAATGGGGAAAATATTTCTTTTACTTTGAAATAGATACAGGGGGCCTAACGTAGAGCTTCCTTTTATAGTTATTATGACAATCCTGTACCTATTTAATTATTCCCCCAGGAACCTTCTACAATACATGTATACTAGAGAAGAAAGAAAATATAGAGCTTTATTACTCTTTAGGGAATAGAAATACTTGGTATTTGATTATAAGTAAGTAAAAATTCAAAAATTATCTTCTCTTTTGAAAAAAACACTATAAAATCATCCAGAGAGTCCCACGTCCCAAAAGGTCATGATGCAAGCAAGTAGATGTATATAATCCTTCATCTGGGCCTTGATATTGGTCATAAACATGTGCTTCAAAGTTGAGGATAAAATACCTTCTAGGGTTCTTACTTTGCAACCTATGGGCAATTATAAACTGGATCATCCCATTTCCTGGAAGCTCTTCACATGCCTTTTGCTCCAAGGAGTAATATTTTATTTCCTGCCTTGGATCATCCCATCATTTATCCAAGGAGTAAGTGTACAACAGATGAACCACATGTGCTCACTTTTTTTCCAGAATTATTTCATAAGAACAATTTTACTCTGTATTTGGGAAATAGAAATATTTTTTTACAGTAAAATGCAGGCAAAAACTGAAGTCTAAAAATGTAAATTTTTTTTCTGGTTTTCCTGAGTGATAAGGAATAGTATTCACTTAGTTCTCATATTCCCAAGAGATATGTACAAAAAGGCTTAGGATTTTAAGTAAAGATGTACATTAACTGATAAATTGCTGGAAAAGTGTTGATTTTTAAATTTTTGTTACTTGGTGAACAATTATGGCAGATTTCCCCTAGCAGAAATATGTTCTCTTCCAAGCTCATATAGTGCTTTTCAGCTCCATTAGATTAATGAATGTTCTCTTCCAAGCTCATATAGTGCTTTTCATTTCCATTATATTAATGAATAGTTAATGATTGATATTAGTCCATAATGGCATTATGTGAATTTATTTTTTTAAGCAACAAAAATATTCAACTTGTCTGATTTTTTGTGGTTATTTTTGTTGAACATACAGGATTTACTCCAAACTGTGGCACTGGACAAATATTATCCCCAAGAAATATTCCAAAACAGGAAAGGTAAGTACCAATAATAATTAGAAACAATTCTTTGGTCAATGACACCTCTGAAAGGTTGATGCAGCAATTGGAATAGCTAAGAGTTGGATTCTGAGTAAATAGGACACAAAACCTTCTGAAGAACAAAAAGACAATCCATTGAAATGTAAAAATATCATTTGAACAAGATATTAAGGGACATAATTTCCCAAAAGACCTGTTACTGAGTGAATTATTTCTTTAAAAACATTTAACAGACTAAATTTTACACAATCCATAGACCCAAAGATTTAATGAATCTAATTTGTTACATCCATTTTCATACAAGAAAATATTTTATTACAATAGAAATAAGTACCAAGAGAAATAAGTACCTATAAATAATAGCCTTATAATTTGGGTTCCATTTCAGTATATTTCAGTGAAATAAAATTGTCAGCCATCTATGTAGTATGACCTGAGGAATCTTGATATTATATCCTTACACAGAAATAAGTCAAGGACTTCTGTGACTCCAGATCCTAGATTCTAACTTGGGAAGACTTTCTTTTCATTATAGCCATTCTTTATTCATTATGAAATGCAAAGATATTTTTAGGACTGGAAAGAACCCAAAATTTAGTTCAAAAAAAGTATTGAAGTCTTACTTCTAGCTTTAGGATTAAAATGTCAATATGAAGATAAGATCTGTCATATTTACATTTCTTCCCAGCAGTTAAAACAAAACAACAACAACAAAAAAAACCATTTAAAAACAAAAAAAAAAACCACTTTTCACAATGCAGACCCTCTAATCAATATTTTTAAAGGAATTATTTTGCTAGTGCATTAGCTCATAGTGAAGTCCTAAAGAAATAGGAGAATTGAGTTTTGAATCCATAACCATTCTTTAGATATGAACTAACCAGACAAATAGTGGTAAAAAGTTTCATGTTTCAGATTTGTTCAAATAGGAAAGGCTTAATAGAGCATCATAGTGAGATATAAAAATGGATAGAAGGTCCACCTAACAGGGAGAAAATGTAACATGTAAGGGAAAGCAGTGAATCAAGGACTATGGACACCCAAAAGCCTTTTGACCTTTCATTTTGCCCTGCAGCTTGCTTGACCCTGGCTAAGAAATACAGACATATTGGTCTTCACAACAGTCACTCAGAGTAGCTATGCTTCATAAGGCCAGTCACCAAAATGACTGTATCCAGGCCGTATATGCACCTGAGAGTATCGCAGAATATTTACACATAGTAATTTAGAGACCAAAGTAAGGACTCTTCTTCCACAGTGTAAGGTGCATCCATCTTCCAGGAAAGGAAAGAAAGAATATTTTATACTAAATATTGAGTCATAAGAGAGGTTGTGATGTATTTTTTATGCAAAAATGTATCATGACTTTTTTGATGACTCAATATATGAAGTAGCATATAAGATCATTTATCCTCAAATAATATAAATCTTTTAAAATTTCACTCTAAAAAATAACTCGGAATAACTGAAACTAAAAACAAATATAATTTTGTGCCCCATTATTCATTACATTAAGAAAGAGGATTTTTTTTTCACTGTTATGTTCTTTTTTGCATTCCAAATATTGAGTGTTGTGCTCTCAGTGAGGTAAATATATATGTCCCCAATTCATATTCATCCCCCCGACATTGTGACTTACTAAAATGATACCCATCATGTGTTCAGAAGTTGAGTAGTGAAGGTCACAATTTTGTTGTTTAAAGGCAAGACAAATTGTTAACTGCTTTTGAAATACATGATAAAAAAACTTTGATGTTTCCAGGAAGAACCAGCATGATTCATTTGATTTTATGTTTCAATGGTTCCTGTCAACTTCATGTCTTCCAGACTAATGAATGTGTCCAGTGGAGAAAACACCAGCCCCGTCAGCCACTTCATCCTCTTGGGCTTTCCCTCCAGCCCAGAAAAGCAGCTCCTCTACTTTGGGCTCTTCTCAGTGGCCTATACGCTAACCCTGATGGGGAACGCAGCCATCGCCTGTGCTGTGCGCTGGGACCGGCGCCTTCACACGCCCATGTACATCCTCTTGGGGAATTTCTCTCTGCTGGAAATCTGTTATGTCAGCACCACCGTCCCTAACATGTTGGCAAACTTCCTCTCCACAAGCAAGTCCATCTCCTTTGTGAGCTGTTTTGCACAGTTCTACTTCTTCTTCTCCTTTGGCTGTGATGAGGGACTCTTCCTTTGCATCATGGCCTTTGACAGGTACCTTGCCATCTGCCGCCCTCTGCATTATCCACGCATCATGACCAGGCAGTTGTGCACTGGCCTCGTCATCTTTGGATGGTCATGTGGGTTCATTATCTTCCTAAGTCCAGTAATTCTCATTTCACAGTTGTCCTACTGTGGCCCAAATGTCATCAACCATTTTGTATGTGATCCTGTCCCACTGATGATGCTGTCCTGTTCTAAAGACACCACCACCCAGTCTGTCTACTCCACTTGCAATGCCATCTTCATGATTGGCACCTTTGTCTTTATCCTTTGTTCCTATGCTCTGGTGATTCTGACTGTGGTACGCATGCCATCAAAGGCAAGCAAACGCAAGGCTTTCTCCACTTGTGCTTCTCATCTGGCTGTGGTAATGCTGTTTTTTGGCTCTGTTATGGTGATGTATGTTAGACCTGGATCAGGACACCCAGTGGAAATGCAAAAGATTCTTACCTTAATTTATTCTGTGGTAACACCTCTCTGCAACCCTCTAATATACAGCCTCAGGAACAAGGAGATGAAGGTTGCTCTGAGGAAAATCTTCAGGACTGAAAGATCAGTTCATAAAATATAAACCAGAAATTATAGTGAACCAAAATCAGCCCAATCTACCCTAATAAGACATGAGTAAAAAAATTTCTAGAAAGTCAGTGAGTTTGATTAGGAAACCATTACAAAAGCTCATATATCTTACACATCATTCAATACTGATAGATTAGTCTTAGTTTAAAAGAAAATCTTAAGAAAATTGGGATCTTTATGTCTAACTCAGTTTCTAAAAGACAGCATGATAAACTACATATTTCAAAATTGAAGCAACTTACAGATATGTAACATAGGTCATATACTTGCTTCAAAATAAAATAAAATTATCTTTCACTGCAGTTATTGACTAAAAAGAATTTTACATAAAATTAGTCCAGTCTTGCAGGAACGATCTTACCATTCTACCTCCAAAGACTAATTAGCGCTTTTACACTAAGGATTTTAGAGAAACTGTCTTGGCTCGATGGTAGGTCAGAAAGCACCCAAAACAAAAATAAGAAACGTAGTGACTATTATTTACTTAGAACAGAGTCTAGATAGAAGATGATATAAAGGATCAGTTATAAGTATTTAACTCCCTTTGCATCAAATCTAGTGTCAAGTGGCAATTTGGGGAACCATATTTTATTTCAGTATTTTTGCTGCATAATATATTTAAGTATTATTCTAAGATCTCTAAAGAGTATCTCATCCTTAAAATGTGTATCACAACTGTTGGCTTGTTAGCATATTTTATTTTAGCCATCAGTCATCTATTATTCCAAAGATGACTTTCTAAAATGTAATCAAAAGGCAATAGAAAAATAAGATGCAATTTAGAAAGCCACATTTACACCCCACAGAAAGTCATTTTATTCCACAAATTGATATGTAATTGGATTTTCTTTACAAAAGAACATAGGATTTCATGTTTTCTAGATTTTGAGAGGCAGGACTTCTGAGGGTTCCACAACAAGACAGATTTCTTTGTTCTATTTCACAGGAGCAACATCAATTCAATGTATAAACAAAGAGAATGACTGGATGGGCAAATTATTTGCATAAGCAAAAAACTTAAGTACTTTACCCAAAATATCAGTTATGTAGGTGTAGGTGTCAGATGCTGATGTTCTCATTTTTTTTTCTTTTTTTTTTTTTTTTGGGGGGGGGTTGTTTTAGGGGGGA